GAGGGGAGGGGGGAGGGGGGAACAAATGAACTTGTCTGCTGATAAGACTTCATTACTTCATTACTTCATTACGTCATTACTCGCCAACTGTTACAAGATTGAGGACTTTTTAAATTGTATACTGAAGTAAGAGATTGGGGGGGGGGGGGGGGAGAATAGGAAACTACACTGAACTATGTCGACTTTTGAAACATCCCACTTGGAAATATTTACTACTACTACTACTACTAATAATAATAACAATAAAAATAATAATAACAATAATCTTAGATTTTCAATCTCATAACAAAATTAACATTTGCCACAATCATGTCTAACTGACGTACACACTAGCTAATCTACAACCCCCCCCTAAAAAAACAACCCCAACTTCTCCAACTCATGTATTTCAGCAGTCGTAAGTTAGAGGATACAAAGTGCTGTCCATGTGAAACCAGAGTTTACAAAACAGATAAAAAAGAAAAAAAGAAATGGATATAAAAAGTAAGTAAGCGGTGAACAGTTCTAGAGAAAAACTACACAAGGGAATGACGATGACGGTGAGAAGAAACGACCCAATAAAAAAAAACATAAAAACAACAACCTCGGTAACAATAATACTGCCAGATAGAAACTCGAGGCACAGAAGTACGAGGAAGTACAACAGCCAATGGGAAAACTTTTTCTACTACGGGGAAGAGAAAACATAACATAGACGGGCTACGGTCCTCCATCTGAAACACGTATCGGATTATAATATCACAAACAAAAGAAGACATTTATTTTACACAAAGATCATAAACATTCTGTAAAACAAAAATAACGTAATCATAAATTCAATATATTGTAAAAAAAATAACGTAATCATAAATTCAACATACTGAGCAAAAATAAATAACGTAATCATAAATTTGACATACAGTAAAGAAAAAAAACGTCATCCTAAGTTCAATCTGCTACGTACCAGTTTGCCTTTGTCTGCCGCCAGCTCCTCGGCTTTCACCTGGCTGGCCGTCAACTGACGCTGTAGATCTAGGAACAAGAAGGAGAACCAATTCACTACAGAATATTTTCCTCAAACAAGTAGTTTTAGTTTTAGTAGACGTTATACGGCGCTCGCAACTGCATAAGGTCATATGAGCGCCAGAGGATTAGAGGTGTTACAAGAGAGTAACAAACATAAAAAAGAAGGAGGGGAGATAAGGACGATAGATGTTTGATAGGAAAGAAGAAGCAAACCACACCAGAGCACCCGCCAACCACCCATCTCAAACAAGTATTTGGCACCAAATATTGTCAAGACTATAGGAATTATCAGAAATTTAATCTGTCTATTTCCAAAATATCTGAAAGTACTCAGCAGGGTTCATACTGAGCACGACATTTTTTTCCCCAAGACTTTTTCAGGAGTTTTCAAGACCAGATTTCTTTTTTCCAAGACAAATAACGTGTCACTTCGGAACACTTCAGACTGCGTAAAGTCCAGGCCTTCTTAACTTCAAGGAAATATCTTTACTACAGATCGAGTTAAAAATGTGTTTTTCCAAGACTTTTCGAAGAATTTGGCTAACTTCCCAAAATTCTAAGAGTTTTCCATATCTTGAAAAATAAAAAAAAAATTCCAAAAGTTCTCCAGTTTTCCAAGACCCGTAGGAACCTTGACTCAGTAAACCATCATTAATAAAGACGTGTTTAAATGGATAACAAACCACCCCCCCCAAAAAAAAAAACAACAACCCCAAAACAAAACAAACTCTGTTCTGGTCAGAGAAAGAAATTTTTTTTTCAACTGACATCATTTTACGTCCCTGTTGAGACAAATTAGACCATATATAAAACCAGCTGCTTCAACTCTTTCTGTCAGGGCCAACCCAGGCGGCGTGGCCACAATAAGGTCATATAAGTGCCGAAGATTAGAGGTGTTCCAACAGAGTAACAAACACAAAAAAGAAGGAGGGGAGGGAGATAGAGACGATAGATTTTTTGTAGGAAAGAAAACCACACCAGAGCACCCGCCAACCACCCACGAAGGTAATTTTGAAACAACTACACAAGTCAAGATTCCAACTCAAAGTCTGCATGCAACAGCAAAGCCTACTCCAAACCACACGCCCCTAGAAAATCTCTAGCAATGAAAATTTTCAATGCATCAAAATAAAAACTTTCAAATAAAAAACCCAAAAAAACTTCCATTGTGGTAACAGATTATGCAAAGAAGACGCCATATCCAAAGATGAAACAAACACACACACACACAATACTTCTAGACTACATACGTTTTCGTACCACCAGCGATGCTCCACACACACAAAACTCCAGTTTCTTTTTCTCTTACTGCCAATATTGATCCCTCTTGCTTTATAGAAATGCTGAGCTTTTAAAAAAAATCAAAATCATCTGTCATCCCCAAAATTGTATCCAGTTTAACTCTTTAAACCCAATCGGACGCTGGGGGTGTCAAGTGGTAATAACCTCGTTCCCTATCAGACGTAGGGAGCGTCCGACACTTGTGACAACTGTTTCATTTCGTTTAGTGCTAGTTTTGGTTGTTTTTCAGAACTATTCTCGAACCAAGTTTTTTTTAGTAAATGACTAAGCCTTTGTTTCTGCCACTTAGAAGTTTGAGGAAAGCTTTTGGGGTTATAATGAGACATGGCGCACCAGGTTTAGGTGACTGTAGAAAAGACTCCGGGGAACGGTGAAAAAAACTCAGGGTATAAAGAGTTCAGTAACTACTACATCATTCACACTGACATTTTCAAAAAATAAGAATTAATAAAGGTATAAACCTGATCCGCTATTGCATCACTCCATCGTAAGCTAGGTACAGCAGTACGTCACCGTAAGCTAGGTACAACAGTACATCACCATAAGCTAGGTACAGCAGTGTGTCACCATAAGCTAGGTACAGCAGTGTGTCACCATAAGCTAGGTACAGCAGTGTGTCACCGTAAGCTAGGTACAGCAGTATGTCACCGTAAGCTAGGTACAGCAGTACATCACCGTAAGCTAGGTACAGCAGTATGATAGTGTACATCATCAGGCACAGAAAGAAGAACGGAAAACAAAAGGCGGGAACAGACCATGCCATGACACCCACCAACCACCCCCCAAAACTGACACACACACCACTCAATACCAAGAAGGCAACAGTCAAAGATATCACTGATGGTAGAAATGGAGTAAGATTTACCTGCTGAATTAGAGTTAGCCTAAAAAACAACAAAAAACAAATTCAACAAGTAATACTGCTTCAGTAAAAAATAGCACTGGTAGAAATGGAGTAAGGTTTACCTGCTGAGTTAGAATTAGCGCCCTAACCTCCCCCCCCCCCCCCCCAAAAAAAAAAAAAAACCACCCTAAAAATGAACAAATTCAATAAGTAATAGTGCTCGAGTCACAGACACCACTGACAGCAGAAATGGGGAAAGGTTTACCTGCTGAGTTAGAGTTAGCGTTGCGCAACTCCTCCATGACTTGTCTGTGCTCATCCTGAACCTCTTTCAGTTTGTCGGTTAGTTCTGTGTGAGGGAGAGAGAGAGAGAGGGCACGGCACGGCACACTGTTACATTCACCGTCAGCAGGATCAGACAAGCAACAACAGTACGGGGAATAATACAATGCAAGAGGAGACGGGCCATCTTTATTTTTCTTCCGTTGTGGGGGGGGGGGGGGGGGGCACACACAGGCTGGCTATGTGGGTATATGGACAGTTGGAAAATGTGGCGCTTGGTGTAGAGGTGCACGTAACTGAAAACATTTCATATCAGGTTCAAGAGAAGTGCATTAAAGCTTGAATAGTCATCTTATGTAGGGGAAAAGTAAGAAGAAAGAAAAGATAAAATATCTGAACCAAAGTAGAGAAGGGAAAGTTTACACCAACAATCTGGAAAACAACAACAACAAGACCCCACTTTGCCTGGTTCATAAATATGATAACTTATAACAACACAGAAAAGAAGAAAGAAAGGGCCATAATACCAAAGTCCCCCCCCCCCCATAAACTATAAAGCAGCCACAGAAAGTGTGAAATATGACAGTAACTTCAAGCTACAACCCCTCTTTTCACACTCAATAATGCAAGCTAGAGTTTTAAATATAATTATAAAGACCAACCTTTTTACACACACACACAAACAAAAAAAAACACCCCTTTCCAGTCACACCTTGAGAAAGTTGAAATTAAAGTCCCATTTCCTTCTACAAAGCCACTGCACACACAACGCAGGAACACATTCCAGATCCAGAGAGAGAAAAAAGACAGCATGCCAATCCCATAACAATCAGATGCTGTATTGGAACAACAGAACACAGACAAAGACACATCAGGAACATAAGAACAGTTTAGTTTTAGTAAAAGTTTTACGACACTAGCAACACAATAAAGTCATATAAACGCCAAAGAATAGGTGTTACGAGAGAGTAACTTACACAAAAAAAAAGGAAGAGAGATAAGGAC